ATGTATATTTAAGGTTTTTTAGAGATTTTGTAAAGAATTTGATAGTTTTTTATTCTTTTAAGAGATTTTTAATTTCTTAATTATTTATTTCTATTTTTAGGGATTTTTTAAAGTTTTTCAAGTATTTTAGGGTCTATTTAAGCATGTTTAAACTTATTCTAAGCTTTTTAAGCTTTTTTTCATGGATTTCAAAAGGATTTTTATGGTGTTTTCATGGATTTTGTAGCAATTCTAAAGGTTTTTAAGGGTTTTTAATTCATTTGTTAAAGATTTTTGAAGTATTTTTAATTTTTTTTCATTGATTTATAAGCACTTTGAAGGTTCTTTTAAGTATATCTAAGGTTTTTAAGAGATTGTTTAAGGTATCTGATAGATTTTTGATGCTTTTAAGGGATTTTTGAAATTTTAAATTATTGATTCTAATTTTTAGGGATATTTTAAAGTTTTTTCAAGTTTTTTTAGGCTCTTTTAAAGCATGTTTAAGGTCATTCTAAGGGTGTTTAAGCTTTTTTTCATGGATTTCAAAGGATTTTGATGGTGTTTCCAAGGATTTTGTAGTAATTCTAAGGATTTTCAAGGTTTTTTAATTCATTTATCAAAGATTTTTGAAGCATTTTTTAAGACTTTTTCAAGTATTTTTATGCTCTTTTTAAGCATGTTTAAGGTCATTCTTAGCATTTTTTAAGCTTTTGTTTCATGGATTTCAAAGGATTTGTATGGTGTTTTCAAGGATTTTTTAAGGAATTTTAAAGATTTTTAAGTGATTTTAATTCATTTTTAAAGATTTTTGAAGTCTTTTGAATCATTTAAGATTTTTTTTATTGTTTTTAAGCATTTTTAAGGTACTTTTAATTATTTGTTTCGATTTTTAGGGATTTTTAAAGGATTTTTTAAGTATTTTTTGGCTCTTTTGAAGCATGTTCAAGGTCATTCAATGCATTTTTAAGCCTTTTTTTTATGGATTTCTAAAGATTTTTATGGTGTTTTCAAGGATTATTTTAGTAATTTTAAGGATTTAAGGGTTTTTAATTCATTTTTTAAAGATTTTTGAAGCCTTTTGAAGCAATTTTAAGGTTTTTTCATTGATTTTTAAGTATTTTCAAGGTCCTTTTAAGTCTATTTAAAGTTTTTAAGAGATTTTTTAAGGAATTTGATAGATTTTTTATGTTTTTGAATGAGTTTTAATTTTTTAATTATTTATTTTTATTTTTAGGGATATTTTAAAGTTTTTTCAATTATTTTTAGGCTCTTTTTAAGCATGTTTAAGGTCATTCTAAGCCTTTTTTAAGCTTTTTTTCATGGATTTCAAAGGATTTTTATGGTGTTTTCAAGGATTTTGTTGTAATTCTAAGAATTTTCAAGGGTTTTTAATTCAATTATTAAAGATTTTTGAAGGATTTTTAATGTCTTTTTCATTGATTTTTAAACATTTTCAAGGTCTTTTTAAGTATATTTAAGATTTTTAAGAGATTTTTTCCTAAGAATTTGATAGATTTTTGGTATTTTTAGGGGATTTTTAATTTTTTAATTATTTATTCCGATTTTTAGAGATTTTTTAAGTCTTTTTTGAGTTTTTTTATGCTCTTTTTAACAATGTTTAAGGTCATTCTAAGCATTTTTAAGCTTTCTTTCATGGATTTCAAAGGATTTTTATTGTGTTTTCAAGAATTTTCTACAAATTCTAAAGATTTTAAGGGTTTTTAATTTATTTGTTAAAGATTTTTGAAGCATTTTGAAGGGTTTTTTTCATTGATTTTTAAGCATTTTCGAGGTCGTTTTAAATATATTGAAGGTTTTTAAGAAATTTTTTTAGGAATTCGATAGATTTTTCATACTTTTAAGGGATTTTTAATTTTTTAATTATTTATTCCGATTTTTAGGCTCTTTTTGGGCATGTTCAAGGTCATTCCAAGCCTTTTTAAGTTTTTTTTTCATGGATTTCAAAATATTTGTATCGTGTTTTCAAGGATTTTCTAGAAATTGTAAGGATTTTTAAGTGTTTTTAATTCTTTTTTTAAAGATTTTTGAAGCCTTTTGAACCATTTAAGGTTTATTTTTATTGTTTTTAAGCATTTTCAAGGTACTTTTAAGTGAAATTTTTTAGGAAATTTGATATATATTTAATCCTTTTAACGGTTTTTTAATTTTCTTAATTATTTATTTCGATTTTTAAGAATTTTTAAAGTATATTTAAGGTTTTTAAGAGATTTTTTAAGGAATTTGATAGATTTTTTATGCTTTTAAAATATTTTTAATATTTTTAATTATTTATTTCGATTTTTAGGGATTTTTTAAGGTTTTTTCAAACACTTTTAGGGTCTTTTTATTCATATTTAAGGTTATTCTAAGCATTTTTAAGCTTTTTTTTTATAGATTTCAAGGGATTTTTATTGTGCTTTTAAAGATTTTCAAGAAATCCTAAGGATTTTTTAGAGTTTTTAATTCTTTTTTTGAAATTTTTGAAGCCTCTTGAAGCATTTTTAAGGTTCTTTTCATTAATTTTTATGCATTTTTAAGGTCCTTTTAAGTATATTTAAGGTTTTTAATAGATTTTTGAAGGGATTTGATGGATTTTTTATGCTTTTAAGGCATTTTTTATTTTCTTAATTATTTATTTCAATTTTTAAGGATTTTTTAAAGGCTTTTTAAAGTGTTTTTAGGCTCCTTTTAAACATGTTTAAGCTCATACTAAGCATTTCTAAGCTTTTTTTTCATAGATTTGGAACGATTTTTCTGGTGTTTTCGGGGTTCGGGGTCCGGGG